AGATCTATGTGGTGGCACTGGTCACCGTATCCACTGTTAGCGTAACACACCCGCTTTAAGGACACTGACTGCTATTCAATCTATAACAGTGAAAAAAGTTTTTTGTTTTTAAATCCAAGCTATTGTGACACCAGATGTAAGTGGTGGCACTGACTGGGGAAATGGGCACAGTATGCACTGTGAGCCTGACACAGAAGCTGGCAGCAGTGGCAGACAACTAAGTGCAATTACATTACATAGAAAAAATAAATAAAAACCTAACCTAGCTATGCTTTTCCCTATCTTATGAACAGCAGCTACACTTTCCCTCTCTTACTAAGCATGCAGCTTGAGAATGAATCTAAAATGGATGCCTTCCAGGAGGTGGGAGGGTCTGCTAGGGAGGGTGTGCTGCTAATTGGCTGGAATGTGTCTGCTGACTGTGAGGTACAGGGTCAAAGTTTACTCAATGATGACGAATAGGGGGCGGGTCGAACCGCGCATATGTTCGCCCGCCGTGGCGAACGCGAACATGCTATGTTCGCCGGGAACCGTTCGCCGGCGAACCGTTCGGTACATCACTATTGCTTAGTTTGCATACAATATATAATATTTGTATTCAAAAATGTTTGTCTGTCTTATTTGTCACTTAATTCCTTTTTAAGTGGACTTTTTGCAAGAGGGTGATAATTTCTTACAGAAGTAATAGGGATGCTATAGTCAATTGTTTCTGCCACTTCCATTAGCTCAGTGGAGCTAATGGAAACCTCTCTAGTTGTCATAATTACTATTTCAACAGTAGTTGACGCTACTTCAGTAGTTGACGCTTTCAATTTAAATTAAATTTTTTATCAATTAAAATAGGCACATAAAGCATTTCAGAAAGCAGCATTCATTTTATGTTTTTGGAGTGTTCATTAACCCCTTAAGGACCGCGAAAGTACTAGGTAGTCCTTATTACTTAACCGATCGCCTCCGTTCTCCCGCCGGCGATCAGTGTTGCTTCTGTAAGAAATTATGACCCTCTTACAAGGATATTTTTTTAGGGAATGTGTGACAAATAAGACATAAACACAAGTGTATAATAAAATGTATTGTAAATATTCATTTAAGGATACTGTTAGATTTTAAAAGGATATACACAATATACATTATACATTATATCCGGTACATAATCAAAAGCTACATAATAAAAGGGCAATACTTAAACATGTAAATGCAGGTCTTCCCCTTGCGCCTTCATCTTGGGTAATCTGGGACAGCCTCTCTCAGTTCACCATGGCCCTGCTTGCTGCGTTGTCCTCTCCAAAGAGAGAGAGAAAAGAGAGAGAGCCTTCCTTGGTTGTTGTCCTTTTAAAGACTGATTCTTGGAGTAATAAACTACAAGTCCCAGAATCCCTTTTCCTTCCCAAAAGTGGTTTATCCCGCCCTCTTTCTCCAGAGAGTTCTGTCTTTACACAAGTCTTTCCCTTTGATCTCTTCCCTCCAGCTATACTGTAACGTTCTGAAAGAAGTGACCAGTTAGGGTTGGTTTCTGGGTGGGTTAGACTGCTTGGGAAAACACACACTTCCATGGTTTCACCTAGATGTCTATTACTCTGATCTCCTGATAACATGCAAGGAATACTGGAGGGATGTAAGCTTTTGTTTTAGCTGGGTGTTGTAAAATGCAACTGAAAGCTTTAATCCTTATCACACTGTTATCAAGTAAATGACCCCAACTTGTGAAACCAGTCACATACACAGAAAGTTATATACAATATTGCAGTTTGGAATATCAATTTCTTACAGTCCCCACCTAGAGGGCGAATGACTCAACAAGAAAATGAGCCCTCTCAAAGAAATACAGTATTTGAATTATGTGTGTTTTAAATGATTATGTGTTTTACTGAGACACAAATGACTTGACAATCACATATATTTATAATTTAGGGTACTGCAAGGCATAATTTAGCCAAATCATTGAGGCACTTACAGTTATCATTTTTCACCATTAATTTGAACTCCTTCAGCCATATCCGTAACCTTTCATTACCCTCATAGGCTCAGCATCACTGCAACCATTAGATTTCACTCCCATCACGCTCAGTTACCTGTGCCACCAGCACTGCTTCCACCACACTGTTCCTTTAACCCTGGCCATGCTTACTTTGGGCTATTAGGCCTCTGACCTCTGCCCACCATGACACCTGGTGTATTTTCACACCAACAGCAGTTAATTTGCTGTTCACTTACATAGTGTATTAAA